CAAGAAAACGTCGATGCTGTGCGCAAACCCATCATTGAAGATAGACATGTGACATATTGCGAGATTGAGGCGTCCTTGAAGATCTCAAAGATCTCAATTCAAAAAAATTTACATGAAGAATTAGGAGTAAGAAAATTAGTTTCTCGTTGGATACCCCACCTGTTGACTGAAGAGCAGAAAGCAGCCAGGGTTAATTGGTGTCAAAAAATGCTTGATCGTTTCAATTCCGGAAACTCAAAAAATGTGTGCAGCATTGTTAGTGGTGATGAATCGTGGATTTACTGTTACGAACCAGAAAATAAACGACAGTCGGCTGTTTGGGTGTTCCAAGGTGAAGAAAAGCCAACAAAAGTCATCCGTTCTCGAAGTGTTACGAAAAAGATGGTCGCAACATATGTGTCAAAAGCGGGTCATATTGCAACAATTCCTCTTAATGAGCAAAGAACTGTTACTTTCAGATTGGTATACCACCATTTGTTTGCCAAACGTCATCACCAAGCTTCGAAAAATCAACCGCGAAAGAAGAATCATCCTCCACCAAGACAATGCAAGCTCGCACACAGCCCAAAAAGCAAGGCAGTATTTAACGGAAGAGAACGTGGAATTATTGGACCATCCTCCATATAGTCCCGATCTAAGTCCTAACGATTTATTTACTTTCCAGAAAATTAAAAACAGACTGCGTGGTCAAAGGTTCCTGTCACCAGAAGAAGCAGTTAACGCATTCAAAAATGCCGTTTTGGATCTGCCAGCAAACGAGTGGGACAAGTGCTTCGAAAATTGGTTCGAGCGCATCCAGATGTGTATTAGTCTTCGTGGAGAATACTTCGAAAAACGATAAAGTGATTTAAAACTACCTACCGTGCTGTTTTATTTCCATATGCAAAACTTAAAAGACATCCGTCCCAATATCAAGATTCACTGTGTAATCAGAATTAAGGAGGCTAAGCCTTTTCATAGGAATATTTTAGGATTTTACCTCAAATGTTCATACCTACTTAAATATCTCAAAAGCAAGTGATTTTCGAAGAATTGAATAGTATTTTATAAAATGCACTTCTTTCCTCCGAGAAGGCTAGTGCCGGAGAAAAAAATCCTATTAGAGGTCCATGTGCCCCAGTTTCTATGTCCCTGGCTTAGTTTGGGCTGGGGAAACTCTGTGTGTTTGTTGCTGATGTTTTCTCAGTGAAAGTCTAAAATATAAACTCTGTAGTTTTACCCGCTCCGTAGATATATATTTTTTTTAAATTTCGTGGATAAAACTTCATCATCCTATATCACGGCAGATCATCGTTGACGCCATATTTAGGGACTTTTTTGGATGCATTTTCTACCGTTGAATAAACCTAGGGAGCGACCAAGATAACCGACCTATGGGTTGTGACCTGTATCATGTGTGTAAGCTGCGAGTGTGACCTCTACGGGCTGTCGCACAGGAGTAAAGCGCGCGCCTGCTGGCCCTTCGGGATCAGTCAGATAAATCAGTATTCCGGACGAGCGTCCACTCTCCATCCCTTGCATCCCTCAACCCCCTTCAGAGCCCCGCGCGTTGTTTTTCATCCGATTCCTAAATCGTAAATCGCTCCCGGCTCCTCAAACTGGGATCCACTCGCAGGTAAAGTGATATTTTTTCAACGACGATCGTCGTTTTTTATCTTTATGACGGGACGGAGGCCAGTTTGTTACAGGGAATATTAGGAGGGTGACCATGGTCGATTTTCATTGCGCTGTGGAGTTTGGTTCTTCAGCATCAGATCAAGGAAAACAATATATTAAACAAAAATGAAAATGAACTTACACAAATAAGGATTTCTATAAAATGGATATAGAACATGCGAAGAAAAGGAGATGTACTTATAAAAGGTTATTTGAACAGTTTACGGAAATACTATCGCAATCCAATTATGCAAGAGATGTCACTAGACATTATATACAAAAAATGGCGTCAAGTAGGTTGACTCTGCGCTACCCACGCAACGCCGTTATCACTTTATAAAAGCATTTTGTCCAGTCATACAATTAACAGGTTCATACAATTAGTAAATGTTATTTCTCTGCTCTACCGATAGTCTACCTGGCAACGTCGACTCTTCCGATACCTAACCCGGTTAGACGTGCCAGCGCGGCGACAACATAGGAAACACTATGAAGTAGCGCGGCAGTAATACGTGCAACACCAGAACACTTGCCAATGCCGGGAGCAGAAGCTGAAGCGGCCGGTAGGTACGCGATCCCTTTGCTGAGAAAAGTTTTAACGGATAATCTTTGAATAAATCTATGATGTGTGTGCAACTCGCCTAATAGGGGAGGCACCAAGGTTGGGAGCGTATAAATATACCTTCATTATTAAATGAAGATATACTCTCCCCACCCCTCTACAAGGCCCACCAAAAAATGATCAGGGTCCTCTAAAACAGCAGAAAACTAAGTTTGGGCGATTTTTATTTTTTTTTTCCGTTTTTGGTTTTTTTCTCCGCCACCACTGGACTAAAGTTCAAAGACTGGCTTTTTCGTCCTTGACATAGAAGTATCATTGTGTATAGATTCAATCAAAATTCGAGAGGTATTTTTCAAGTTATAGGCGGTTATGGGTTTAGCGGACAAACACACCGACGGATAGACCGTAATGAGTGACATGGTTCTTCGTGATGTACAGGTTGGCCAACTAAGAATGCGAGTTACTTTATCTAGGAACCCAACCATCGTATAGGCTTGCCGAGAAAAAAGTTCTTACTAAAACCAAGATAATAACCTGGAAAATATGCTCAATTTTCTGAAATGGCCGCTAGTTAATCTTGAATCTCAAAAAGTAATGTTGCTGTTCCGCTATACTGAGCTAACAAAAAATATATTTTTTGTCAAACAAAAACGGTTCAGGTTGTTCTTAAATTTTTATTTTCTTAAATTTTTCTGGCATTTCCTTTGAAAAAGAAAGGTTTTTAATGCTCCGGTAAATGCTCGAAATGCCGACCATCGCGCTCTATGCATTCCTTATGGGTGGACAAAACTGCTGCTTCTATTTCGGCTCGCAGTATGTTACATATTGAGGTACGAATCCGGTTTTTCATGTCTTTTCTGGTTGAAGGAGTCTGAAACACGATGTCCTTTAAGCATCCCCATACATAAAAATCAAGACAAGTCAAGTCTGGTGATCGCGAAGGCCATGGAAACCGAAAATTTGCTGGGATAGGTTCCCAGATGCAGTACCTCGCATTCTTAGTTGGCCACCCTACATATCATAGAACATCAAACAAATATAATATCTCGTTGTCTAAAATTATGGCGATTACAGTACTTCGCCGCCAGTAGGCGTTGGGAGTAAAATCTTGTAATATACGGTATCGTTTAACGCAGTTTCGGCAGAACCAATTTCCAGTTATTATTTTATAGGTACGCGTCTAGAAGTTTATTTTTTCACTACCTACCTGAGAAGTCGCTATTATTTACTACATTTATCTAAGGAGATGTCACAGAATTGTCATTGTTATTGAACGCTTCTTCCATTTTGAAATATTAATAATTTTTGTTTCAACCAGAAAGCACAAAGTTTTACATCGGAAATTATTGTTTGTTGATTGTATTTATCGATACTTGCTAAGTAAATTGAAATATTTGAAAGTCTTTATCGGACACTATCACGTAGCGGCAGCACCGTTATGTCGTGCAGACATTGCGTAGGCTTTATTCTGACAGTGTTTCCGAACTTTGAGGGAATTCTCAGAAAGGTCATAGTCGAAGTCTAGTCAAATTACATATGGTAGTGTGTCATAATCAGTAGTAGAGCAATTATTGTCCTGGCACATTATATCGCTTGGTGCTATGCGCTTTGGCTAATAGTATTGCGTATAACACAATAACTCTATACATATTTGTGCAAGATCCATTTAACTCATTTTCACTTTATTTCAATTATCCAACATTTCATCCGTAAAAACAGGTAAGGTAATACGTGTTCAATCCGTTGCTAGATAACCGATAAGCGGAATCGATCAGAGCATGTAGGCACACCATTCTGATCTATGCACCGTATAAGCAATCTATTTCTTTTCGTCAACATGAAATTACGAATCAGTGGCGTATATAACACCCCCCTCCACAATGTTTTCGTAATAGGGAAATCCAAAAAAGTATTAATTAAGGAAAGAAACATTTAAACATCGGCATGTGTGATAAAATATTTGTATGGATTTAGGAACCCGTAGATGGTGACCCTAAAAGTTTTAAACTTGTTTTAGAAGCTTACAGTGCATTCCAAAAAGGACTCCATACTTATTTTTATTGTAATAATAGTAATTAGAATAATGATAATAATATCTTGGGTTCATCCAAACGCTCCAGAAAAGCAAAAAAGAAATAAAGACGGTATTCACAAACAAACTGATGGACAGGCTAAAGCAAATACTTGATACCGAACTGAATGCGAAGAACAAATTTCAAGGCATAAACACCTGGGTAATACCATCATTGTCCTATTCATTCGGTATAGTAAGCTGGTCGCATACAGAATTAGAAAAACTCAACAGAAAAATCCGTACTACATGGACATCATACAGATTTCATCACCCAAAAGCTGCAACAGAAATACTATATCTACCCCGAAAACCAGGAGGGAGTGGACTGTTAGATCTATCCAATCTGTGCAACAAACAAGTACTCCCTGAGGAATTATTTCATACAAAAATTAAAAACATCGAGCCTGCATAGATTCATCGCGCGTGCAGACACCTATTCGCCTCTCAAACTCGCAGACACCTCCTTTAGCACACCAATCACAACAATACAGGAGATACAGCAAGACTTGAAGTCCAAATCGCTCCACGGTAGGTTTCCCCATTCCCTAAAAAATGCCGTTAAAAGTATATCAGTGCAATATGGCTTAAAACTGGGGTACTATTGGGGGAGACAGAATGCTTCCTGGTTGCCATACAAGATCAAGTTATCAGGACAAATAACTACAAGAAGTATATAGAAGGTCTACCAATCCAAACCGATACCTGCAGGACATCCAAGCGAGGTGCTGAGACGATTGAGCACATAAGAGCAGGATGTTCAACACTCGCAAACGTTGATTATCTGCGACGCCACAACCTCACTGCAGGAATTATTCATCAAGCATTGGCACTCAAACACCATCTAATAGTCACCGAAGTGCCGTACTACAAGTACCAGTCTCTGCCGGTTATGGATAATGGTACAGCAAAGCTATACTTCGACCTAACCCAACAAACAGATAAAACCATTTTCGCGAATAGGCCAGATATAGTACTGCACGAGGACAAGGTGGCATATTTCATATATATAGCTCACCCCATGGATCAGAATATCACTAAATCTGAAATAAAAAAGATATCCAAAGATATACCACTAGCATCCATAAACTGCAATCAGTAGAGATAATACCTAACCTATCACCATCACAGCAATGGTAAACATTAACAAAAACTTGGAAAAAACATAATCATACTAGGCATCGCCGCAAAAAAATTATTAGGCAAACGCAAAAATCAGTAGCTCTCGAAACATGTCGGATTGTCCGTACGTTTCTACGTCTGACAAATTGAAATCCGTAAAGCAGGGTTTGCATACGCCCTCTGCCTCAAGAACCAGTGTTACACTGAGAAGAACAAGAAAATATTAATAATAATAATTAATATATTAATATGCACCATTCCCAGTACTCGAGAATGAGTCGGCCCTATTGTACTGGGACCGGCCAGTCATAACCAATAAGACAGTTGACTATAACCGGCCAGACATACTACTGATCGATAAAAATATACGGAAAGCATAAATGTAATCTATATCGCAGTGCCATTCACAGCAAACATAATTAAAATTTAATAAACCAAGGCTGAAAAGTATCAAAATCTTGCCATTGAAATCAAAAATATTTGGAAATTATCAAAGGTCTGCATTATACCAGTAGTAGTGTCTAGTGGAAGGGGCCGTCTTTGTATATTTCCACTCACACTTAGAGAAAATCAAAGTTATAGCACATTTTATTGCATTAGGCAGCAGCGGTGGCCGCAGTAGCAGACTCTTCGGTCTCCTGATCAGTCGCCGTGCGCTGTGCGGGTTCGAGTCCCGTCCCAGGAGAAATGTTTCTCTTGGCTATGGATGTTGTGATTGTCCGTAGGTGGTAGACGGTCTCTGACTGTCGAACGTGGAGGTACCACCCGGCGGATCTCGTAGGCGGAGCCAGAATGTGTGCATGTTACATGCACACGTGTTCCCTCGCCAGAGTCCGTGTGGCGTTTCCCCTTTCCCCTGTATCCCCCTATAGCCCCACGGTATCCAATGGGTGTTTAGGCCTTAGGCCTTCGTGGTAGTTGGAGTATAAGAAAAACAGTCGCAATATTGCAAACATGTTACATAGTTCGCAAGTTCTTCGCAATAGGCTGAGGTGAATTCCTCCTCTACTGAGTACATACCCCGCGTGTAACGGTGAAAGACCAACCAAAAACGAATAATAATAATAATAGTAATAATAATAATAAAATTCATCCACAGCTTATACATTGCCTCTCACAACTGATGCAAATGTGGAAAACGAGCTTACACCTAAAAACAACAAAGCGAAATATGGCAACAGGTGACATTCTAAATAAATGTGGCATATATCAGGGCGATACCTTAAGCCCCCTGTGGTTTTGTTTGGCGATGAATCCCCTGTCACACCTTCTCGATGAATCAAAATATGTTATCGAACTCCCGTGTGTTCTTGGAACTAGTGTTATTCTTAGTCACTGCTTATAGATAGATGTCCTAAAGATCTACACTACAACTAAAGAGAAATTGGGTAAGATGATATATGTATTAGAACAGTTCTTAAACAACGTCAATGTGGAACTTGGGGTGAAGTCCAACAAGTTTTCAAAGGAAAAAACGAGTATGATGGGGGTGGAATTCAGACAAAGAACAGTGGTGAAATAGATCTACCCAGAGAGAATAAAGTATATAAATATCTGAGTATAGTACAAACAGAGCTGTCAATTCATTTGCTATACCCTTACTCACATACTCTTTCGGATTAGTTAAGTGGAGTGACACCGAAGTACAACAATTAGATAGAAAGACAAGAACAGCTCTAACTAAGAATAGATTCCATCATCCGAAATCAGCTGTGCCAAGAGTGAACCTACCACGATGCTTAAAAGCTACTAAACACAAGCCGGCGGCAATGCCGCCGGGTTTACGCCGAGCGGCAATGCCGTCGGCAATACAAGCCGCCAAGCATCATTCCGGTTGTGATAGTCACATAGAACGCTAGTGAAGTGCAACACACAAACCGCACAACACTCTCGAAGGCCAAGAACGAAGTGACGCCGGCAAGCCGCGTAACCCGCCGGCACACCCCGGCGGCTCCTTTGCGCGGCAAGGCCGGCGGCTTTGTATGCCGCCGGGTGCACGGAGGCTTAGCCGCCCGCTTGCCCGGCGGCCCTGCTGCCGCCACTGTGTGTAGCAGCCTTAAGAGGCAGAGGATTCATCAATATTCAACAAATGCATAACAAGCAAATAAATAAGATGAAAGCATACTTTGCACGTAAATCTAAAATCTCACCGGTACACAGAGGCATAACAGAGGCAGACGAGCAAACCTTAAGCAAAGTAAGGATAGAAAGGAAATAAAATCATACATGGAGTTGTCAGAAGAATGGTTAACAAGCCCCTACAAGGAAAATCCCCAACATCAATTCAAGGAGAGGAGAAGAACAAGATTCATACACACGCGTGGCTCAGAGACGGTAGATAAGCTGTATACAGAAGCAGAAGGTTTTTTGATAGCAATACACGATGGGATCGTCGCAACCAAGATTTATAAAAAATACATACTAAAAGATAGCTCTTTCCAAAATGGTCCGTGTAGGAAATGTAAAATGTATCAAGAGACGTCAGATCATATAACCAACGGTTGCCCAGTCCTCATACAATCAAGATACAAAGAAAGATATGATAACGTTGGGAAAGTTCTACAAACCTAGCACTTAAATGTAATTTAACAAGTGAAATAACACCATGCTACAAATATATAACAGATTGAATATTAGAAAACAACGAGTGGAAAATATACTGGGATAGCAGTATATACATAGACAACAGTAGAATGCAAATTAAGGAGGAATTAAACAATAGACCAATATGTGTGTAATTAATAAGAGGCGCAGAATAGCGAGACTAATAGACTTTGCCTTTCCAGCAACACATAACACAAAAAATACATACCAAAACAAAATAAGTAAATATATCAACCTGGCCACGCACTTAAAGGGTACACAGGATATCAAATCTGTAAAAATAATGCCTATCATAATATCATCTACGGGCGTTATTCCACAAAGTACCGTCGATGGAATCAAAGAGCTAGGTATAAATGAAAATATCATCAAGGTCATGCAGAGGGCAGCAATACTCAGTACTTGCGGGATCGTTAGGGGAGTACTAAATTTGAAAGAATAGATAACCTGGAAGACTTGCCCCTGTGAGGGCTTTCAACAGGCAGAGGACCGAGAGACCAGTAAAAAAATAATTATAATAATAATAATAGTAATAAAAATATTTATTCGCTCAATGTACAAAGAATACAACAACAGCAAAATAAATATAAAATAAAAGGAGGCTCAATATAACATTCCATAAAAAAAAATCTGTTCATTTTTCTACTGTTCTAAATTCTATTAGACATTCAGATACACCATTAGTAAAGAAGAAGGTTGATATATCTGAAGGTTTAGTGATTAGTTGTTGAGTTATATTGGATTTAATATATAAAAATATTCTCAACTCAACAACAAATCTTGGAAACAAGGTTACAATGTTATGTTCATACCTCGGAACATTGTCTAACTGAATGTTTATTTTTTTACGTTATAACGATTTTGAGAAAAACCATAATCATAAAAGTCCGACATACCACCACCATGATCTTTTCAACCCACCACCACCACTTCCGTTTCCAGATTCCAATGCCCCCTCCCAGAAAGCCATTTCCCACCCCAACTCAAGTTCTTTATACGCCACTGTCACGAGGGTTAAATGCCAGCTCTCAGCATGAGCTTCCGTTGACAAAAAATAGCATATCAAGAGTTCATGAGTTTTTCAACTGACAGGCTCAAAGAAACCCAAGAGCTTTATTTAGCTATTAATTAGGTTAAGTTAGTGGTTGGTTGTATAAAGTTTATTCATTCCGAAAATGGAAGAAATAAATTCGCCCTCAGTCAGGTTTTCTCTCACATAAATAGGCAATCCTGCCATCAGCCAGAGTGTGACGTGGTTGGTTTATACATATTAATTGAATTCGGAACGGCAGGGCTAGACTTGGGTGAAAATTTTCCGAAGGCTTCATTAAGGCCCTATGCATTTTTAACGGTAGCCGAAATTATTTAGCTGTAAGGGTGTGTACCGCCAAATTGATTCTGAATAGGAAATTTAAAAGTCAAAACAACATAAAAATTGCTTTTTGATCTGCAAAGTAACCGCCTTATGCATCTATCGAACAAGTGGATACATTCTATTGACATTTCGCCTACCTCAGCAGTATCTTCAATGATAATACACTATATCCTCGTAACAATGGATATGACTTAAGCTTAACATACTATAAGCACCGTCCACCTGTTCAACCGCCTTTGTTAGCTGATGTGGTGGCCTAAAGCAACATTTTTCTCAAAATGCGGTGATCACGAAGGCAGAAATGGAAGAAAAATATACGTCCCACTAAAAAGAGATCACTGGTTCTTCTCACCAAATGCTGGGACTAACAAAATATATCTCATTGATGATTGAAACTCCGACAATCCGAATGGCTAATTAGTGAATTTCGGTCAACCATAGAAACCCGTCTTAAAGTAAGCACGTCATCTTACAACAGTTGCGGTACAGTATTGTGTCTTACAAACAATAAACTACCCAAGCCTGTTACATCTTCTGGCAGTAATAATCTCCAGATTTGTTATTGCATTCCAGTGATCCACATCACATCTCCTTCAATCACTAGGAGGTTTTAGATTTTCAGAAAAAAAAATGGGAGTTAAGAATTGGTGGTTGGGTGCTGTAGGGGGTGTGGGAGGGCATATATCAATTTTTTGGTGTTAGAATATTTATAGGTTTCTAAGTCCAGGAGGTCTACACACATATTAGCCATATTTGCCTTTACAACAGAATTATAGTGCAATGTTTTCGATGCGTACCTCCTCCTGCTATCTGGGACCACCGCCCGGCGTACTGATCTGGTTGACTATCCTGCTCGTTCTGCAACGGTGCTGCGGTGGGCGCTGCCAGATCTGGCGATATTGGAAGGGGCAACGTTGCCAAATTGGGTAGGCAAAGAATTCCTATGGACTAATTTTATGATCCAATTTATTTCTCTGTTGTACATGTTCGTAACTACTTCT